CCGAAAAAAATATTCCGGATGGGCAAGCAATTTGCAGTGCACCTCGCCTGTAAATGTGCAAGCAAAAAGAGGGCGACAAAAACATAGCTTCTGAACCAAAGAGTCCTTGATAAAGTAAATGTGCTGTGTATTCCAAGACCCATTGTGTGTAAGATGGGTAAGATGCAAGAAAAATAAAAAGGGGGCTGGCGAAACTCCTTCCACCCACATGAGACTGACGGTCAGATCTGCGTCCAGTCGAAAATTCACATGGACAGAGCATGGACACCACCATGGGGTGCGGATCCCATGGATGCGGCGGCCCAAAGTGTTGTGGGAACACGTGGGATCCCCCTGCAGGATGATTCCGCACAGTGGCTAGTCTTCTCCTCTCCCTCCTATACCCACCCATGAGTGCGACATGGAAAGGGGTACGAAAGCACTGTGCGGAATCACCCTACAGTAGGGTGCCCAAGTGAGTTTTAGTCTGGAATGACGGATTACTTCACCGTCAGTCGGACGACGGGGGTGGGCATCCTCCTCGGCGGGGCGGGGTGCCCGGTCCCGGCGGTACCCGGGTGAGTCCCCGCCGCGCCGACTCTGTCTGCGGACGACCTTCACCTGTTTGGCCTTGCGCGGGGCTCCGCGGAGCGCTGCGGTGGTGGGCTGGGAGGGAACCTCCGCGGAGGGGACGGGGACGGCCGCTGCTGCAGCGACGCCGCCGCGGCGCCGACGGCGAGGACTCCTCGCTCCGGCGGGTGCCCCCGCACTGCACCAAGCGCCCCGGCCGACGCGACGCACTGCCGACGCGGAACAACACTCGCACCGTCACTAGGATCGTCTCGCCATCGGGGTCCTGGGCGGCTCTCTGCACACGCACACACACGCACGCACGCACAACAACGACAGCAGCAGCAACAACAACAACAACAACAACAAACACTTGCACTCGGGGGCGCCGACACGACAGCACGCGCGCGCCTACACACACGCCGAGTCGCGGACTAGCGGTCGCCTCGCGGGTCACCCCGTGCGGGTCACCCTGTGGGTCACCCTGTGGGTCACCCTACGTCGAGTGCCCTCCCAGCGGTGCCCTGATGCCCTATGGTGCCCTGCGGTGCCCTAGAGCGTGCTGCTCCGTGGCGGGTCTCGGCGCGACTGGTGTGGTGTGGCGTGGCGCGGGTGCCTGCCTGCCTGCCTGGCGCGGCCCCCGCCCGGCCCCCGCGCCGCCCCCGCCCCCCACGCTGCCACCCCGTGCCCGTGCCCCTCGCAGCCGGCGGCCGCTCCGCCTGCGCCGCCTCGGCTAGCCGTGCCGCAGGCCGCGCGAAGACGGGGGCCTTCTTGGCCCCGTCAAGGATGTGGAAGCGATCGGGCAGCCGTAATCTACACGAGTGGCGTACGGTTTATTGGGCCTCTCTTTTAAAGGGACTTCGAAAGGAAGCGTTTGGGGCGTTAGGCTATACTTCTGCAGTCACCCTATCAGGGGAATGTTATTACCCATACGGTGATTCATTTATCATGGCCACCTTAACAAGCTTGTAAAAAAACTTTGAAGGAAAAGTCTCCCTTCGACTGGGATTCCCCATACTCCTCGCTCGCAGTGGGCTGCTGTAGCTGGATGAAAAACTGGTGGCCTGGTCGAGGGGACTGTCTGTTTTCTTTTAGCCCTGTAGACTTTTTTTTTTGCAGTAAAAAAAATACACTACACCCCCCATTGCTAGGGCCCCTCTCCCTCACTTTTTGAGAATCCCTCCGAGTCTATAGACTGCCAAGATACTTCCGCGCTTGTGTTCATGATGACTGATATAAGTTAAAGATATAAGCGCCATGGGGAAAAGGAGGATCCTGTTTTAAGACACAGAAGAAATCTTTCTCATGGTGTTAACAAAAATTTGTAATATCATAACACATAGAAAATACTAGTGACTTACATACATAGTTTCATTTTGTGCCAACATCAAGAAAAGGTTCAACATAAAAGTAACATAAGTAATAAGAATAAGAACCAAGTGATAACTTCGGTTCAAAGTAGATCTGCAAGTGAAGAATAGTTAATCGGTTACATTGAATGAAAGACCTTCCAGTACGGGGGCAATACATAACAGAGTAAGCCCTGTTCCTTTCAACAAAGCTATACCAATGCAAAATATCTTTTCGGAATGTGGTTGAGTAAAATGGCATCAACTAACATACCTTAAAAAACATAATTAAAAGTAAAAAAAAAATTAACATCACAGAGACATCAGACCATTTTTGCCACAAACAAGGCAAAATCTGGCAGAAAAATTCTTGGAAAGTTTTAATCACAATAGGTAATAGCTTAAGCTAGGGGGAATGAATGACAAATGGTGCTTCCAGTTAGAGACATAATCATGAAAGTGAGCACATTCCTTCAGAAAGACACAGTTCTAAATCTATCATGGTTTCAGTATATTCTATAGAAAAAATTGACTAGAATCTACACGAAAACCTTACTAATAATTAGGTCTATTTTTTATTATTACTGTTCTGTAAAAAATGAAAAATTGCTCTCACAATGATCCTGGAAATGACCAAGTAGCTCCATGCTTCATTCAATTCGGAACAAAAATAGTTCTGGTTTCCCAAAATCAAAAAAAAAGTTAGCAAGATTAATTATTACTTCTGCTCTAAAATTCTAAAATGGGATGTCCTAGAAGGAGATCCAAAGAAATCATCATGGAATAAAATAAAAAGGCTGTGTTGATTAATCTACTTTTTCTAGAGTGAAAAAGTCTACAATCATTTTAAAACAGTCTTCAAGTGGCTTTTTGAATGCAAACTTCATATCACAGTATGACAATTTTAATTTGACACTACAGTACTTCAGATTTAAAAGACAGGTTTGGAAGCATTTTAAACATTTTCATCAAAAACTACACAGAACCTTTGAAAACGATTCTATTCTAGATGGTTTGTAAGAGAATACAGAATACAATATCTCAATTATAATTTAATTTTCCTTTTAGTATAGATCTCTGAAGATTCTATAAAAATTTTATGACTTGAAATCCTAATATATTTTTGAAGGATTGTCTCTTGTAAAATCTTTTGAAAAACATCATTTCCCATTCCAATAATCAATCTTTCCTTGGTGGAATATCAGGTTGTGCGTAGGAAGTGCAATCGGAGGTTCAGAGCCAATATTTGGAACATCATCCTGTAACAAACATGATGGTGTAACATACATTTTAAATATTACATCTAGTTCCAGATTGATCTTAGGAGCCAATTAGACAACAATGGAACCGGAAAATACTAACTTGGAATTGTTTAATAAAGTCAAGAAGGCTTTCACCCAGCTTTTCTCCACTTATTCTTAAATTTTCCAAACTGTTGAACAGAAAATAATTTAAGTTACAATAATTGCCACAGCGAACTTATGCAACCAGCTTAACAAAATAACAAAATACTGCACCTTTCTTGTTCCCATAATCCACAACTTGTAATGGATTTGCAAATTTGATTATTTGCCTCAACATCAAAGAGAGGAACCCCAAAACAACAGTCCAATAGAGTCCATTCATCACATCCCTCAGATAAATCACACTGTTGGGTAGGAATGTCAAGTTTAAGTTTATCAGCAATTTGATCAGACATGTTTTTGACTGAATTTACACATTCTGAGGAAACATCAGATGATGGTGTTGAATGTTTAGTTTCTGCATTATTGGATCCATCCTCCTAAACAGAGATTTCACAAAATTATAGATACTGAAAGGACAGTAAAGTACTGAGTATCAATTAAACCAAAGAGTACAATACTGAAATTCGTTCATACTTGTTTCAAACTATCAACTTCTTCCCGCAGTATGTTTGCACATTCTTGGTTAGTAATACCATTCACTGGACTCTGTTGTCTTTCAATTGGGTTTGGTGATTTTAATGGGTTTAAAGCTTCTCTTTTTCTTCCAATGTTATCATGAGGGCCTAGGTATACCATGGTCACAAAACCACAGTTGTGTTTTAAGTCTACATGCTCTGATAATCTCATTATGGCTGGATGTCTCTGCCAATCCAGAGGCATCTCCTCTGTGAGGAACAAAAATAAGTTAAAACTCTTAAATACAAAAAAATAACTATAGTATCAATTGAGTATTCTGTATATAAATGAAACATTAAATTAAAAAGATACATTGACTATCTAAAAAAGAAAAAGAATACATACTTGAGGCTAACTTGAAAGGAAAAGGAACAAGAGCTGTTTCAGCCCCTCTGAGAACTCCATAAGCCTGAGGAGAATAAAGTCCTTCGTCAGAAACCACATTTTACGAAAGCATACTAGAATTTAAATTAAAGATGCAAAATCAATCAAGATACAACAAAAAGAACTATACCTGGACTAAGACAGATGAGTGACATAGAGCATCATTAAGAGTTACAACAATATTTGCAACAGGTAATACACCTGGATCATGACCCCATGTGGTTACTAAAACCTTATCAAAATTACGAAATATTGATGGCATACGTTTCAGCCTTGTACCTGAACCACAATTACACAAAATCAAACAAGGGTACTCGATACTTCTCACATGAATATAAGCTGGGAACGAAAATCTTAAAAACTTAATAGATTAATTTATATTTCAGAAGTTACCTTTGGCCAAAAGGAGAGAGGGTGGACCATATCCTGTTTTCTGATACAAAAATAATTTGAACCAAGCTGAATTGACTTCTGGAATAGCTGGCCCCAAATGAGGAGGCTCCATACTTGTAATTGGCCTGATTTCACGGCTCAGGGGAGCCATAGACACAAGAAGACTAAAACACAAATTATGTACATGTTCATTATTCAGACAAAAATTAAGGTCAGAAAAACATGTTATTATTTTTTAGATTTTTTGCACAGTTAACTTACGCATAATTTTTGTTGAGAAGTCTAGTGCATGTTGCAAAATCCAGTGAAAGGAGTGATTCGCAACGCACAAGGTCTAAGCGACGATTTTGTCGAAGAAACAATATTGTAGATCGTAGGATAACTGCATGGTCAAAGTAACGCTGTGCTTCCCCTTCCCCCTCGCTCCCTTCCACAGAAACTTTTTCTAATTCCAGTAGAAAACTATCTAAAGATTCATCTGGCAACTTTCCAACTTCAAACATAGTCACTGCATGGTTTTTCAGCCCCTGAAACACATTTTAATAATAATACTGTGAATACAAAGTATACACAATGAGGTTTACAAAAGCAAACAGTCCCACTCACTGGTGATAAATTCCCCATCATAAGAAAAGCTGTCAGAGTTGAATCAAACAGGAAAGCAATTCGTTTGGCACGAGGCTGAGCAAGGGTAGCTTCACTTTCTTCAGTACCACTTGAGGCATCAGCTTCTGCAAGAGCTGCATTGATTTCCTGAAGAAGGTGTTCGTCAGGGGGGGAAGCTAACCTGGATATGTGCAAAGGAGACGTTCATGTAAGATATCCATTAAGTGCAACATAAAACAGTTATGTCTAATTTAATTTCAAAGTCTTACTTTTTTGTTGTTTCAGCAGTAACCTGCTTCCATGAGAGATGGTTAGGCGTACTACATAAATCAGTTACTTTTTTCCTTGCAAAACCTAGTCGACAGTAGAGGGAAACAGCATTCTTGACAAGATTAGCATCAATTTGTAGGACACTTGCTAGCTGGGAAGGAAAGATGTCAGTCATATATGATGTCAGGTTAGATAAAAATGTGTTGTCTGTTTTTTGTCTTACCTCTCCTACTGAAGTGTGCTCATCAATAGATACGAATATTTTATAAAGTAATACTTCAAAATAATCACCAAGGACTCTGTTCATCACAAATCCTTCTAGGGGAGGAACAACAATGAAATCTGTGTCATCTACAGGAACATCCAAGTATATGAGGCCCTTCCTATATGAGTAAGAAAGAGACAAATTTAATGCTATCATCACAAAAAAATGTGTTTAAAGTAGAGATAAATTTGAACTGTTGAAATATACTTGTATAGTGCATGCACTAGATTGAAATCCAAATCCCCGGCTCGTTGACTTCCCATATCAATAATCTTATCAATCATGGCAACTTCAGGCTCTGACACCATCTATGAACAATTGTAGATTGTTAATTGAAAATCTTATAATTTCTAAGACACTGAGAAATTGAGAATATTAAGTAATCACTAAACTGTAGACCTTAATATCTTCCTCTGTGATGTAGCCAACATCAACATGCCACCAACTCTCCATAGTAATGTCAATCGGTTTAGAAGGCAATAAATCTTTCACATTTTTTCGTCGGAAAAGTTTACGCCCAGACCTACATTGATTCATTAATTCTATATACTCATTTCGGCCAATGCCAAGCAGGCGGAGACCTGCGAAAGAATGTAACAGCTTAAGAATACTATCCCTGGCTGATTAATATGAGATTCAATTGATTAAATACTTGCAATCAGCCGCAGTGAAATTTGGCAGTGAATCATATGAACGCTCTTGTTCCATTATTGATCCCATCACATTTAAATAGTATTGAAATGGTGTCACACGTAGGCCTTTCACCATCACATCAGCTAAATGGTATGGGTACAGCATAAGATGTGATTGGGAAAACTCAAGTAGCTCCTCATAATATCTCTTTTCATCCTTTCTCACATACTGAACTGTTCCAATAAAATCATACTGAATTAGTTAATTGGGCAAATTTACATGTGTCATTGTATGAACTCTTAAAAGTGTCCACTTGGTTGTAATATTTACCTAAGCTTCCTCTGAAACGAAGTTGATTCCTTATACTGAAATATGTTATGCATTTCTTGTATTCCTTTTGGGAGTTGCCCAGTCGCTAGGAAAATCCAAATGAAAATACATTATGAACAACAAGTTGTCAAACTCAGCACATACAACCAATTTGATTAAATAATATAAAAAGTCAAAATATAGGAGGTAAAGAAAAAGTTAAGGCTCCTTTTGAAGGAGACCTTGAGGAATACTGACAGATTATATTAAGTGATATCAGACAATCCAAAAACAGTATTATAAAAGAATATACGAATTTCATAAAATCAAGCCGAAATAACATGCAAAATAACGAAAGATGAGTCACAAAATATAAGGATGTGACAGTTGTTTGCATAGCAGACAGACCCCTTGACATTTGTTTACCTGTTTTATGTTTTGAGGCAATTTACTCCAATCGTGATTCTGCCTGATGTGGAATTCCACGTCTTTTTGCATTTCAATACAGTTCTATGAGCATCTAACATAAAGGATATACAATACTGTTAGCAAGATTAACAAGAAATGTGCAAGAATCTTCGGTGTTGGTCTCCTTACGTCGACACCTCAACTAGAAACAAAATAACACAAAATACATAAAAAGACGAGTATCTTCATTCCCTTTCCAAGGCGGTGGTAGAGCTGAAAGCGCGAATATTTGAACTGTAGAACCACCTTGACACGACATGCTTTCGCTTCGAAGTGAAATTGCGCTCTTGTCAGACAAAGAAATTTCGCTCACACTGTACGAATTAAGGTTTTTAGTATTTCAAATGAATCGTCACTCATCTTGAAAAGGATTGAACTGTTCCTGTTTTCAATTTTAAAAACTATCATTAGAAGCATCCATACATCGTTCAGTGCCCGTAAACACTGTGTTTGAACACAACAATATTTCTTCATTTGATTCCATCTCAACCAAAGAGGTGTTTCTATAGTCACTTCTCACCAAAATTCCTTATCTTTCGAAATTTCAAAAATTGTCTCGTTGAATGACGTATACATTGGTCAATGCCATACCCTACAGCATGCGCATGAAGTCGTGCTTTCGGGGAGATTTTGCATAATTTCGCAAGCTTCTTCTCGGAAAAGCACCTGAATCTTGTCTTTTAAAATTTTATGTCGTTTATTGTCGTGTACTTCTAATTTCACGAATCTCCGAGCTTTCCGCAAGATTCCAGTAGGAGAAGAAACATTTTATTTTTAGTGACTTTCACTTCTTGACGGTGCATTCAACGAACGCAGTGAGTAGCGTTGAGTAGTTTCCACATTATATTTTAGTCTTTTCTAAAAAACTGTCATCTATCCTTGTGAGCACCACACTGTTGCAAGTTTAATCCAGTCTTCAAAAACTTTCAATTCACTGAAAAATGTTGATGCATTGGTTTAGAATTTATAGTGAAGTTAGGAACTCTAAAACAATCTGAAGTGCAGCGTCACTGATTGGGTCCGCTAGGCTTGAAAGACTACATCTTTGGTTTACTTCTCAAGGTTTGTTCACCGAAAAGAAAATTTATGTGTGTGAGATGTGAACATGGTTTTTATGTGTATCTGATATGTGCGTACACATGGGAAGTATAACGAGTAAAGTTCCGAAAGGGGTATGTCTGCTGTCGACAAGGACATCTAGGCAAGAAAAAGCTTCTTGTCCTTTGAGGTTAATGTTGGATGGTTTATATAGTTGTTTGGTTGTTAAAGGGTATGTCTGTTTGTTCACAAGTCCGGTGGAGTTTGAACACCTTTTCAGCAGCAGCAGTGTTCTTTATTTTGTTAAAAAGAAAATATTTAAGATAAACGATCAACGTTGACATGTACGTAGTTCGCATCTTCACCGTCAATTCGCGGATCTTAGCGCTAGTGTACGATGCTGCTGTTGAAGGTTTGCAGCTTTGCAGCAGTTAGGTCTGTTACCTGGTCTTCTTAAATGCTCCACGAATTTAGCGAAATTGTAACTTTCTCTCAGTCCAAGGAAATTTTGTTTAAAGCACGATTCGTCGAATCGTCTTACACTCTCTTTATTTACTCCAGCTATGATAATAGCATTTTTTCCAGAGCGTTGACGACCGGGGTAAGGAAAGCTTTCGAGTAGGCCCGTTTTCCCCCTTTATTAGTTTTTTTAAGAACCATATTTCTTGTTGGTTTTCCTCCCCTAGTTTTCACTCGTATCATTGATCTCCATTTTCACGCTTGCTATAGTTTTTTGGGACCTCTCATTTTGTCTATATTCGGACACACCCGCGTGTCTGTCGATGTTGAGATTCCAGATCGGACGAAATTTGTAGATGTAGGTTACAGATTTTGTACCGCAAACATTACACTAGCGTCACCACATGCCGTTGAATATTAATGAACCCGGTTCCTTTGGAACTAGTTAATCTGTTTTAAAATCCATACTTTGCTTTTTAACCTGCTTACCTTGTTCTTGCTTTTTGAAATGCACTCAACTCATGGAAGTCTGAGTGTACTCTTTGCTTTTTTAAAGAAACATTTTGTTGAAATTTAGACAGATGTATGTTTTGTAAGTTTAATATTTTCCTACTCTGAGGGTTGGGCTCAATGGTTGCACTAGAACAGATGAATTATCCTTATTTGGCTTTTGCTAATATTAAGTCCCACTAGGTCTCCAATACTATCATTATCATGTCAAGGTGGATCCACAATAGACACATCAACACATCACATATCACCATACATCATATAATTTTTTAAGGGTGAAACCTCAAAAAATCATACGATGTGTGGTGATGTGTGATGTGTTGATGTGTCTGGTGTATCTGATGTGTCTGTTGTGGATCCACCTTATCAGCACAATTATTTCCCTAACTCTCCTTGTATTTTCAGGTGATCTGCAACAGTTGAAATGGTCTCCACAAGACAGTCCTGTAATGGAGGTGGAGGAGACAATAATGATACAAATCACTCGAATGTTACGTGGTCAAGAAGTCGCTCAACTGGTGCAAGTACTTCAAACGAGGGGCTTAGTAGCTTGAGCCTCAGCAATGTAGCTAATGCTGGGCACAGTGGAAGTGTTAATAGTTTAGAAAGTGTGCAAAGTATATGCAGCTCTGCAAGTAGCAGTGGAGTTAGCAGTGCTAGCTCTGTTATTGTAGAGCCACTCAATCTTCTGGATATGCCTCCTGAAATTCTGGAAAAAATCTTCTCATATGTGGGATACCACAAAGTTGCACAGCTTCGTCTGGTAGATACATAATATTACATTCTTCTGATTATCTTTTACAATTTCCAAAACTGACTAAATTAATTTTGTTTTATACAGGTTTGTAAACAACTGGATGCTGTTTCTTGTAACATCCTAAATTCTACCTTCCATCGACTCCAAAACATGATGCTCAGTCGATTCCAAGCCATACGAGCTAAAATGCCTCGAAGGGAATCAGCGCGGCGACACCACCATCTTGCCTTAGAGTCTGATATAGTTGAAACTTTGCACATGCGGCTCACTTTACTGCAGATGACATTTGGGAAACACATTGAAAGAAAACACTGTTGTTTCTTTGCAGGCGAGGTAATTTTATTGCTTAAAAAAATTAATAAAAGTAAACAAAAAAATACTACAACTGTACTAACAAGTGCTTTTAATTCTCCCAGATTTTAGATGAAGTTTTTAGAATCTTGCACTACTTAAAAAATACTCCTAAATTGTCTCGGCCATACAAAGTGACTGATGAATTGTTTGATTTATCTACTATGGCCATGGAATATTTCAAAGAGCATATTGAACCTACTCTTCCAGAAATCTCATGTTTTGGTACTGATTTTTTGGACTTCTCAGGCTCTTTTACAAGTATGTGTTTATCATTTCTCCATTTGTGTTTTAATATCAGTCTATGCTCTCTGTGCTGTTTTTGGTATGTTGTCAACAATACAAACTTTGTTCTCAGGAAAAGATGACAATGCACTAGTACCCTATCCTATGGTGCCCTCGCCTGAGATGGATAACTTTCTGGAGCCAGTCCCTCAGTCAAATATGGTATTGAGGAAACGGATCCGTAAAATTAAGCAGGGGATGAGGAGGTAATGATCTTTTTCCTCAGCTCTCTATTAACCTCAACATTTTTCATCCTATCAGCACTAATTCTTCTCTTTTTTTCACAGATATAATAACCAGTTAGGGGCACTCAAGAGAGAGATACGAACTTGCAAAACCAAAATTGGAGACCAGCAAAAACTTCTTTTGGAGTATGCAAATCGGTTGGATGAAAATGATAAGAAAAGTGAAGAGACATCACGAAAATTCAGCACATTACTGCAGGTATGTCTGTTTCAAATGAAGTCAAGAATTTGGGTACAACCACACTGATCTACTATGTCGAAAAGTGATAGTAATATTGCAAATCATCTCTGTGCAGGAACTCAACAAATGCAAGACGGAGCTTCAGTTTTGGCGTTCTAAGGCCCCAGCTAATCCCCCTCGTTGTCAAAATTGTGGAAGTGCCATTCCTGTGGTACCAGGCGAAGATTTAAAAGCATTAGCAAATCAAGGTGTTTTAGATGGCTTGCTGGTTTCGCCTGCACCTACAGACAGTAGTATGAAATTTTTTAGTTTGATCTGATTCTAAAATTTGCTACTTATGCATTTTGTCATTTGTTTGTCTTTTAATTGCTACAGTTCCATGTAATTCATTTTCAGCTGACCCCTTTCATGGTCTATGGGCTGGATTAGAAGATCCTTGTTGTAACTCAACAGTTCCTGGGTCAGCCCTGCCTGCCACCTCTGGTCAAGGACCAGTGTCAAGTTCTTATTCTGAGTCACCTTTACCAGAAACTAGCTCATCAGCTTCAACATTGAATGTCACGGCCACCACTTCAAATCCCTCAGTTACCTCAGCTACGCCTTCAACCTCTTCAGCTGGCTCAGCAGTTCCCTTGAACCCTTTGGGTACCTCAGATCTACAAGAGCCATTACAATCCGCTAGAGTAGGTGTAAAAAGAAAATCCAGCACAGCTGGTCAGTTTGCTATTGCAACTAAAGTGCGGCGAGCTGCCCACTTAAAGTCACGTGCGAGCAAACGGGCAAACAAGGTGTAAAAAGTACAGTTAGCATAAGATCAATTTAGACTGGATTTTCTGATAATTGGGCTTGTGTGTCAAATGTTGTTGGTATAATTTTTTTGTTTGTTTCTTTTTAACTATGTATTTTCTTTAATTGTCGTATATTTATTAATGCTTATGACAATGAAATATGCCCTGTGGGGTAAATGTTAATATATTCCCATCAAAGTGATTTTTTTAGAATGGAACTTTAACTTTAGTGTAGGATATCAAATAAAAATTCTAGTTTTTGATTTTTTTTCACCTTGATAAGGAACCCAGAATGATTTTAAGGCAGAGCTGGGACCAACTCAAGTCAAGTTACCCTGTAATTTATGGTTTTATGCATATTGTGCAGTAATGTAGCAAAAGAAATTGGAGCAGATGAACCAAAAGGGATTTTTGGTATTGTTAGATAAGAGAAAGCTTTATAAGATTGTGATTGTTGACTCATGTAAATATTAATCTGGACTTCTGCCTCGCCGAAGTTCAAAATTGTCTTCAATCTCACAGATTGTATGTAGTGTCTAGATGAACTGATGTACAGGGGTAGAGGGAGGTACTCGTCTCTTTCTCCATGTAAATTTGCAAGTTCAAAAGAAGCTTGCTCAACATTACATTTGTTAACTTAGATTACAACAATCAACTGAACTTGTTGGTCATCGATGAATAATTTCTCTGTATAGGAAATGACGAGATTCTTTGATGACCTTCATTGTTTACTCAATGTATGCAATTCAGCTTATTCATTCATAATGTGAGCTCGAAATTAGCTTTGGGAGATGTTGAGGAACCAAATTGATGATTTTGTGTGTTACGCGCTCAGAACTCATGTTGAGCTGAACACTTAACATTTTGTGTCTGTCGTGGATAAATATGTATGTTGAGACTCTTTTGTAGATGAATTTTTGCAATTTACTGTTGATATTTCTGACCATTGTACCTCTAAATTTTGTAGATTATTTTGAATTTGTTCTCAACTATAGTACATTTACTACCATATGATTTATATGTACATTTTCTCATCCCATATCCTGTGTACACAGGTATTATAGTATCTTAATAATTTTGAAGACCCTGTGGAGCTACATATTCATTTCATTATGAGATCAGTAGACAAGTGTGTAACTTTGCCCATGCCCAGGAGTAAAAAAAAAATAATAAAAAATACCATGTTGGGCACTGAATGTTGTCAAAACTGTCAGAACATTTTGTCAGGTTATTTTATTTATTGCTGATATACATATGTACTATATGGAATGAGTACAAAAGTTTCATCTTCCAGCTCAAATCACTATTTTAACAGTATTTTTTTTTTTATCCATGTCTGGTAAACAAGATTGATTTTAAGATGTTTGTAGAGACATGATTCAGTGTGTTTTTTTTATGTTTTTATTTTGGAAAAAAAAAAAGATGTAAGAGGAAGGTTATTAGAGCTCATTCGGTTTTTATCACCTCTTTATATAGGCAAAAGTGTCCATAATCATTTCTATGTGAGAAGTTAATTAAATGCATTCAACATTGAGACGTAAATGTATAATGTCTAAATAATTTTACCATTGCTACCCACCAGAAGAATCAAAATAATTTGAGGAACAAACCAACAAACCAAACAAACAGTAATAACATAAGTTTATTTATACACATTATTTACACAATTCTTTCCTTTCCAGCTATTTGCCCAATCTCTTCCGATCCTCATTTCTTGGTCTTCCACTAGCTTTCTTTCCGCCAGCTGGTGGTTTATCTTTTGTTCTGTTGCTTATCAGCGGATGAATTTCTGGTTTGAAGAAAGAAACAAAAGAATGTTAACTCAAAAGAACCAGAGTGCACGATGTAGAAAGACGATGGTCAAGAGGTACACATCAAAATCTGATTGGGAAACAAACCATCTTTAGGAGCTCCTTCAAGCTTTATTTCATGTGTTTTATATTTTCGTTTCTTGGCAGGGCTTGGAGAGTCATTTTCTTTGCTTCGTTGTTTATCATTTTCTTGGCCTGCACCACTACCACTGGCCTGAGCTGCACCTGGCAATGCACCATCTTCTGGATCTTCAACCTCAGGTGCAATGGGTAAAAATTGTAAAGAGGCCATGTCCTCTGTCTCTTCATCAGAGCTACAAAGAGCAGCTACTCTATCAACAGTGGTTACGTCAACCTAAAACAAGATAACACAAAATCACAATGAAGTTTAAAAGGTAGAGTTAGATGGATTATTTCTGAGTTTACCTCTAAATCTTCTTCTTGCTTCTCTGGGCCCAATTCTACAGACTTGTCCTCATCACTTAAGTCAAATTCTGATTCTCTTTCTTCATATTCAACATTTTCATCAAGCTCTTTAAAATCAGGGGCAAAAGCTGACCAATTTTCCACTTGGTTTTGAGCCCAAATTGACACAACTCCGCTTGAAATGGAGGCTATTATTGGTCGCACTGGATGCCACTAGTAAAACAAAAAGCAGTTAGCATACCAATAAATACCTGACAACTACTCTGGTTTTAAAAAGAGGGAATAAATTTTATGCAAGCAATGAGGGTGACTTACCACAACATCAAGTAACATTTCCCCTTTCGTTCCATGAAGAATTTTGACCAGATTTCCAACACTTTTTTCCCAAATGTACAGAGCATGTTGACGAGCTGAGCCTCCGCAGATGTATTCTCCATCACCCGAAAAGCAACATTTTTTCCACATCATCCTAAGCAAAATGATAAAATTAGTGATAAATTATTTCAAAAATTGAAAGGTTTGTCTTTGAGTTTTAGCACAATCTTTAAAAATACTAATACTATCACTACAGATTGATTGAGAATCATCAGCCAAAGGAAATTTTTCTTACTTGTTAACAAGATCCTGAAGTTTTTGCAAGGGTTCAGGGTCCCCATCTTTACCACAAGATAGAACCTGCTTGGTATCATACACTCGAATGACACGATCTGCTGTGTTAACAAGAAATACACTACAAAAAAAAATAAAAAAAATAAAAATACAGCATAAATATTTTTCTTACAGAATGGTCCTGCAAAATCATACTCACTCTCCTCGGCGCGCAAACTCAATACTTTTAATAGCTGTTGCACTGGTTGTTGCTTGAGTAACTTTAAAAGATGCTTTAAGAGTTAATTCTGGAAGTTGAAATACTTGCATTCGCCCTTTAGAGTTGCCTACATAGAGATATTGACCACGGCGATCTAATGCAGCTACTATATTGAGATCAGACTGAAAATAAAAATTAACAAATACTTGTAGCTTTAGTTCTTAATTATATTTCCAAATGCATTGTTCAATTCAACAATAATATTACTGCACACAAACCAAAAATGGCTCTGAGAATTGTGTAGCTCACCTCATCATCAAGGGGAACAACTTTATGTTCTCCATCCACATCAACCAGGACAGCAGCATGACGCATTGGGCAAACAAGAAAGAGGCGGTCATTGCGGGGATGAAATTGAACCTGACAAAGAGAAATTTGGATGAAGATGTTACTTAAATAAAAAACTAAGATCAGTGTTTTGAGCAGATTAATATCTAATACTTGAAACCAAACCAGCTAACCTTTAGTATTGGTAAGGGAAAACGATATTTCTGTTCACATTCTCCAGTTAATACATCCCAAATGCAGACATTGTTATCGGTAGAAGCACTCAAAAGCTTATGTCCGCTTCTTGACCAACTTAAAAGCAAAAAAGTGATTTAATAATTCAAACAAATAGGGTCAAATTCTTTAACTTCTGTCTCAAACATAAATTGGGCTCTTACCTCAAAGAACACACAGGATGAACATGGGCGCTTATAATTTTGGCTATACCTCTGGTGAGAAAATCCCAAACAACGATTCGACCATCATTACAGCCTACAGCTAGCAATGTTCCACGTTTGTTAAAAGCACATGTTACAGCCAAAGAAATACAGTCCAAGGTACCATCAAACTCCTAAGAAAAAGAGAGAGGAATACTTTTGGAATCACACTATCAAATTAACATTCTACTGAGTCCAAAAACGGAAAGTTAAATCTTACCTCAGGATAGTTTTGACCAAATGACTCTGCAAAAATAAAAAGTGTTATAATTCAAATAAATATAAATTTTGGGGGCAAACACAACTAATTTCGAGAAAATTTCTATGTTGACAACATTAGCTACATAACCTCAACACTAATGCCGGTTATAACTGCCTGAGTATTAACTAACCTAATAGTTCCAAATTCATGCTGGTAGATCTGATGGTACATTAAAATATCTCGGAAACCACAAAAGTGTTACGCTTTAACAAGGGATTGCACATAAATCGCTAATTTATCGTGCAAGACAACAACAAAACAGCTGAACAGTTGTTTACATTTACCTACTGCTACCACTGGCACGATGCACGTACCAACCCACACACAACGTCACCATCAGCTCAAAAAGAAAAATTCACGACATATACAAAGAGTTTGGATGCATAAAGGTATAGAATGAAGAAATAAACAAAACACTTACACATAGTAAGATTTCTGTCGAACCAGATAATCAATACAATGTGGGCAATGTTCCTATTCGAACCGTTATTTAAATAGTAGATGGTTGGTACCTTTCGTTTCAAATAAAGAGCGGGGGAGGCGTTAGATATTGTGTTCTGCTTTGTTCGTGGTTGGTTGTGTTTAGTGGTTTAGTTTAGGTCTTTCGGTCGTTTGAGAAAGAAAGTTAAGAGGTATCTCGCATCTCGCACCACTATGAGCGTCCACAAGCCAAACAGTCAACAGCAGAAAATGACTTTAGATTCAAGAGTTTTCGATAGTTTGTCCTCGACATTTCCTGAATTTCAGTGCACTATTGCTGACATAAAGTTTCCTAAAAAGGACTTTGTCATAAATTTTTATCTATATGTGCTGGAACAACTCCAATTTAATCCTAACAAACTTATTGGTGTAAGTAACGTGTAAAAGCATTGTCGTCAATGAGTTGTTTTTTTGTGTTATTTAATCTCTTAGTGAAATCTTTGTCACAGACGCTACTTGAAGATCAGTTTAAAGGAATATCCCATCCTGAAATGTTTCGAGAGAGTTTTCAGCTTATCAGCCTGATGAAGTCCCTACGGACCATACTAAATAAGCTTCATACGAAAGATGGTTTGCAGTTTGGGTTGAATGACCTGGTTGATCCCAGTAAGTTTCATATCTTCAAACATCCAGTGCAGTATGAAATTTATATTCTGGGCTTCATTATTGCAGAATTAACCGGTAATCGTGCAAATCTCCTCTGCCCTACAAAATTGTTCTTTTTTTTTTATCTGATTCTACAGGTCCTGCCAGAAATTCGGCATTTATGTTTACTCTCCTTAACTTCTTCAATTTCGCTGATGCAAGAGTGACCGAACTTAAAGATAAACTTGATATCGTTGGTGAACGTAAATCTCAACTGAGTGAATTATTGGCTAAACGGGAACAAATTGCTAGAGAGAAAAACGAGAGAGCAGAAAAGAAAGTCAAAATGCAGGATCGTGCACAACAGGTAATTGGGTATCTGTTTCTCTACCAAGATTGAATTTTTGGTATCTTTATTAGTTGCCTTTTTTTAACCAATATTTTCTGTTTGCAGATTCATATCCAAAAATTAGGATTTGAAGCATTGAGGGATGAAACTGTGTCTCTTGAGAAAATGAGTGACAAAAGACATGAAGAATTGGAAGATGTTGCACGACATATTTGTAGGGTCCAGTCCCAGATTAATGAGGTACCCATTAATTTGGTTTTTGAATTGGACTCTATTTAAGTTTTCTAATTTTGGTTTTAAGTTTAATTTTCTTTCTCTCTGTGCAGTTAAAGGATACCTACCATAAGTTGCAAGCTCAACAAGTACAATCTCCTGACGTACTTAAAAACAGTTACAAGCACCTACAAGATAAGCTTAAAGAAACCAAACTTCTATTGGAACAATCACAAGAGACAGCTGAGGAGAAGAAAAAGATCTTGCTCTTACTTGAAACAGTGGAAAAAGGACAAGACAATCGTCTGATACTACTCAAAGAAATTATTGATCAAGCCAAGGAAGTGAAGTAAGTTAATTTTTCTCTGCCTTTAGTACTGCACTTAGATGAAAACTTGTGGAATTGAGTTTTACTTCCTTATATTTTGGCACCTTATCTAATTTCTCTATATTTTATCCAGAAAACTTGGAACTGAGCTAGCTAATTTGGAGTTGAAACTTAAATCAGATTCCGCTTTAACCGAGGCATCTCAGGCTAGACTGAATGGACTCAAAAAGGATCTCTCAGGTCTCACAACTCAAATAACCACTCTTGAACTACAGCATGAGAAAACTAAAAGTAGCATGAAGGAGGGCATACGTCATTTAAAGGAGTGAGTTGACAAATTTTTACTTGCTCTTAACATGCTTTGTTTCGAGAGAGTGTTTGAAGACAGAAGCGTTAGGATTGGTCTGTAACTACTATACTTTATTGCAGGGAGCGGAAAGCCCTAGAAGATACGGAGAGCTCTGAACTTGAATCTGTGCTTGAGTCTATTGATAATGTACAACAAGAGGTTAACAGTTTACTTCAGGAAAATACTAGATTAAATAAATCTTACGAAAAGCTCTATGCATCTCTAATCCAAAAGGTAACACTTCGTTTTTGAGCATTTGGTTTTGTGAAAGTATCTGATAGTATGTGATGTAGCAATTTTTGTTCTGTTTTTCTTTTTCTTAGGAACAAGAATTTACAAGCTCTGAAATTGAATATATTGATGGTGAAATTGCTGAAATGAAACTGGCTCAACAATCCAAGAAAAGGTCTTAAATCTAATGGTGAAACAATTTTTCATGTAGGAAATATGGCTAAGTGATAAAACAAAAATTGTCAATAATTTATGTAGAATGTAATTGAATGTAATTGTCTTCTATACAAGGAATCAAAATTTGAAAATGTTTTGATATTTCTTATGTCTTCATTAAGAAAAAGGTGGGTTTGGTGTGCTAGGCATAGGATGATCTTAATCTAATGAAACCTCTCTTTTGCCCTTTTAGGGCCCTTTTTTCATGTCTTATTTGAATCCACATGCAAAGTAAGATTATTTCTTGTAATGGGGGCAAGAAGGTAAAGAATTTTTAATTTAATTTAATTTTAATTTTATTTCTATTTCTATTTCAAAAACAATTATTTTTTAAAAGTATTTTACTGATGGTAGTGTTCCTATAACTAACTACAAAGCTTATCACATACGTTTAAACTTCTACAAACTTTCAAGTTCTGCTTAATCTAAAGTAGTATCACCGTTCGTTTTTGATCACATTTCAGTTACATCCTCCGCCCATTTGAGGCCATGAAGTCAACAGAAGTTAGATTCAACATTTTAATTTTACCTATGCACCCCATCTCGCCCCCTAAATTTCGGGCGACTGGACTAGAGTCGGATGAGAAACTATGGGTTGTGATAGCGAATCTTCCTGATATTGACCGGAATGCCGTCGGGACTGACGAAGGAGAAAGATCCACCCAGTAGCTTGACGGCCGGAGAGTTTGCGAGACTCAGTGGAGAGTCACGATGGGGGCCCGTAAACAGGTAGCCGTCCACCAGATGGCTGAAAGGCAAACAAATGAAACAAAACGTTATCAAGGCACAATACTCCTCTAACCTGGTGTGGCATGGACTTAAATACATTTGCAGCAACGTGTCAATACCTGTAGACGAAGCGTCCCTCAACGTTGATGTCTAGATTGACTCGCGGAGGCTGCGCGGGGGTGGTGGATTTACGGGCCTGGATCTGCTGAGGTCCCGTGGACTGCGCGGGCTGCCGCGCAGCCTGCACAGGCTGCCGAGGTCCCGTCCACATCGCCGGCTGATGAGTAATCTGCGCAGGCTGAAGTCCTGTGGACTTGGTCGTCTGCGGTGCAATTCGCACTGGCTGCAGTCCTGCTTTGGAGTTGACTGCCTGCTGCGCAAACTGAGCCGGTGTGCGCTGTTGCTGATTGATGTTCACAAGACCAGAACGCGCCGCATTCGCCAGTAGACTGGAAGGGAAGCCCCAGTCGGATGAGATCTCGTTGAACTCCTGGAGAGGCTCCTCTGGCTGTTGCACCTGCTGCTGTTGCCGCAACAAGTTTGACTGCTTAGCAAGCAGCTCCCGCTGCTTCTGCAGCGTCAGCGCCCAGGCACTCGCTGGTACGCCCCAGTCTGACGAAATTTCGTTAAACTCTTGAAGGGGCTCCTCGCCGATGACGCCGCCGACACTCGCCCGTTGGCGCTGCTGTCGCAGGTTCCCAAGGATGCGCTGCTCTTCGCGCTGGAGCGCCTTCAGCAGGGCGCCGTACGGCACACCCCAGTCGGACGAAATCTCGTTAAACTCCTGCAGGGGCTCCTCGCCGACGCCCGCCTGTTGTCGCTGCTGCTGCTGCCGGTTCCTCGTGATACGTCGCTTCTCCGACTCGAGGGCCTTGAGCAGGACGCCGTACGGTACTCCCCAGTCGGACGAGATCTCGTTAAACTCTTGGAGGGGCTCCTCGCTGACACCCGCTAGCCGGCGCTGCTGCTGCCGCTGCTGGTGCACCAGGCGTTGCTGCTGCAGAAGACGGCGCTGCTCCAGCTCGAGGGCCTTGAGCAGGGCGCCGTACGGCACACCCCACTCCGACGAGATCTCGTTGTACTCCTGGTTCGCCTCCAAGTGGTTCGTCACACTCGCTGGCAGAGACGCGGTGAGGGGAGGCGACCGACCCCTGCCCGCCTGGTTAGGGGTGAGCCCCAAACCTTGCGGGGAGAGGGACGGGTTGGCGGGGGCACGGAGGAGGGGAGGGACGGCCGGGGCGGGCGGCCCGTACACCGCAAAGGGCACGTACGGTAGGCTGCGAGGCGCGGGGGCCGGCTCCACGTCGGGGCCCGCGGGCGCGGGGCTGAAGGCGATGAAGGCCATGGTGGCGGGCACGAACGGGTCGTCCTGCGCCTCCCGGCTCGGGGAGAGTTCGAACTCGACGTGCGAGGTCGCGGGTGGTGGGGGTGGAGGCGGCGGGGGTGGCGGCGGCGGCTGGATGGGGGGCGGTGGGGGCTGGATGTCCTCGAGCTCCAGCGGCGGCGGCGGCGGTCCGATCTCCAAGTCCTCCGGCGGCGGGGGCGGCGCGAACAGGGTGGCGGGCGGCAGCTCCTGCTGGCCTTGGGGTGCGGCTGCGGCTGGGGCGGCGGACACTGCCGTCAACGCCGCGACCACCTGGTCGGGATGGGCGGGGAAAAACAATGATCAATCTATATGGCACAACTGCGCGACCACAGGCCAAGCTGACCGCACCGCTGCAGACGCGCTGGCTCGCTGGCTCTCTGTCCAGGGGGAAGTCCGCCGACCCGGAACTGTACAGTGTTGCACTCATAATAAACGTATATCTTCTACGAACAAAATTGTAAATTTAACTATCTGGGGTGCCCCTCCTACTCCTCCTCCTTCTATACCCACAAAAATGTGCTGGCTGCTGACTCAAGTTAAGTTCTGTCTCTACGTATATGGTAAAAGCTGCAATCGGCACCTCTTTTGGCCGTATCATGCACGATGAAGATTGCGCAACACGCCCACGAACGGTGCCGAGATTGACAGATCCCTACGGGGTAGCCTGCTCATCATCGGAGGACTGCGCAGTATCCAAGTTTCTTTCGTTTGTTTTACAACCACTCATCGACACGCCTAATTAAAACACGCGTACACACGCGCTCGAGTTTCACCTGCTCCCGGTAAGAACTCACCAGCACACACAGCTTCAGCATGATTCCGAGATTCCGCGCGCACGACTGAAAGAAGACGGGTGAGAGCGGCCGGGGGAGCGGGCTTATAAGGCGGCCCCCACCCTCTCTCGCCCCCCGAGGCCCCCGAGCCACCCCCACCCCTACGGGCGGCTCTTGCCCTCGCCACCGCTCGCCACTTACCGCTGCACCACCGCCGGGGACCCCGGGGATCGCTGGAAGCAACTCGTATTCTTGGACGGTCGCGCGCGCAGCCGACGCGGGGCCTGCGGCAGAGAGATTAGTACTCGCTAATAGCCCCCCTCCCCTCCCCTCCCTCGGCCGGACTGGGCCGTCCCTCGTGGCGAGGGGCACAAGTTCCTCCCGATCCATGACTAGCTGACATATTTCCAGAATTGTGCCTTTGTGGTGGGACCTTCTAATCAGGACGTTGATAAAATGAATCCCGTTTCAGAGCCAACACACGTCTCGGCTGTCGCATTTGTGTACAGTTGTGGCCACGGCCACAAAATGCATAATGAGAACCGAGTTTTTATTGCGGCCACAGCTGCCCCACACATGACTTCCCCAATGCAACCGATACAGCATCAGAGGTCCATGGGACCACACTCAAGAAGTGATAGGGCCAGCTGGAGACTCACGACCCAAGAACACGAGTTAGCCATCAGGGGCGAAGAATCGCGACGGCGGTTCGGTGGCGGTGGTGAAGGTAGAGAGAGACTCAAACTCAAATAACTCAAATAAGACAAACGCAGTTAGGTATAGCGCATGATAATGCGATTTACTTTGCGGACCTTTGGTTTGCTGCAGTATTGGTGCACTTATATCATAACTTACATAAATTGAAACTTAAAACTAACATCACATAACTTTTTAACTTAATTAATATGGAAGGTATTTCAGATGAGAAATTACAGTTCGAGATGGGATTGCAAGTATGCAAAATGAGAATAAAATTTTAATGCTTACTTGTAGCAAAATAATAAACTCAGTATAGAGAGTTTAGTCCAGCATTTTAAGAAAAATGGCATGTCAACAAAGAATTGTCTTTTTCTTTTTAAAAAAATGAGATATTTACAATAGATATGACACATTTTACAGCTAATTATACAAAGTATCATTAAGTATCACATATTTTGTAAGCAAATTAGGATAGCATACAATATGATAAACATATGCAGACAAGTTGCTTACCAACCTATACTAATGGACAGGCATAATAAATTTGTTTAAATAATTTCCTTCTAGTCTTAACAAGTTCCAGCAACACATTCACATTTATGTTGTACAGTAAATCACAGTTGTCATCCTGACCAAAGGTGGTTGATCTTGTGCGTCTCTACCACAAACCATTTAAAGTGGCAAATACACAAAGTTAACACATTCACAATAATAAACTGAAAGCCTTAAGAAAAATGAGTAAGGTTTTAAAAAGAGCAATAAACATTGAGCACATAATTCCCTTTGTAAAAATAACAACAATAAATAAATGTAACTTCACAGCAATACTGAATGAAAAAATAATGTAACTCTTCTCTGACCTTCCCTGAAACGACGTCATTGTTTCGGCAACTCCTCTTGGCAAGCATTTACTAAGCATGACCCACAAACGGGACAATAATCCCACAGCTCGGACCAGTCTAGAGGTGGGCTGGAGCCTCGTTCTCGTCACTGGCGATGCTGTCCATCTCGTTGGTGTCGCTCGAGACTGCGCCGCCGGGCATCGGCACGCGGGCGTACTCGTCCGTGTCGATCGACTTGCAGAAGTGGATGGCGTACTTGAGCTTCTCCAGCAACACGGGCTGAAACAGACGATGGCAAAACGAGTGGGTGAGCAGGGGTGGCCGTCGGACGGAGCGGGGTCTTTGTGGGGCGGGGCTCACCTTGCACGAGTACCGAGGCATCTTGAGCAGGAAGAAGCAAGTGTAGCTCTCCGGCAGGAAGTGGTCTGGCGGGTTGTACTTGTCCAGGACCTGCAGCACAAAGTCGCGGCCGCGGAAGTCGGCCTTGCTGCGCGGCAGGCGCGTCCGGCCCCACACGAAGCGCAGGAACAGAGAGCGCTCCTGCGTGTTGAACTCCTCCATCACCTCCCAGAACCAGCGGACCAGTGGCGCGCCGGCGTCCACGCCTGTAACAAAGGAACAGCGCGTGACAGCGATCCGGGACGCGAACGGGACGGGGGGAAGGACGGTTAAGGGTAGACGAAGTAGTACTTACCGCGGTAGGTGGCGACAGACTTGAGCAAGGCGAGGGGGATGTCAGGCGAGCCGCAGACCATGGTCTCGAGCTCGTAGCCGCGGAACAGCGCCAGCAGCGGCACGGGCACGACCCGGGCCAGCCCCTCGCGCACGGCGGCCACCTGCTGGTCGAACTCGTGCAGCCGGTAGTTGAGCGCGAGCTGGATGTACTCGTGCCTGTTCTCGGGCGTGATGCGTCGGTGGCGCGTCGACAGCGGCATCTCGACGCCCGACGCGGACGGCGTGGAGAAGGCGATCTCGAGCGTCTGGAAGAGCTTCTCGTCGGGCGACATGTCCCGGATGCAGAGCAGGCCGGGCACGTAGTCGCGGTCCACCTCGGTCAGGTCGGCGGGGGTGAGCGGCTCGCCGGCGAGCTGCTTCCAGACGGGCTCGGCCAGGCTGAGGCTCAGCGGGTTGCCCGTGCGCACCGCCACGCCCATGAGCACACCCAGGAAGCGGAACATGGTGAGGTGGAGCGGCGAGCGCGCCGCCGGGTTCAGCAGGAAGCAGTCCCGGTTGGTGCCGGCGTCGTCACGCCCGTTGGGCGTCGGGATCAGCAGCGGCAGCGACCCATTCTGCAGCTCGTCGCACATCTCGGCGATGCTCTCGCTGAAGCCGCCGCCCAGGTCGTCCACGCTCTCACCGACGAACTTGACCTTCCAGACGCGGTGCGGCAGGAAGAGCGCCTCCTGCGTCAGCAGCGACATCTTGCCCACCATCTGGCCGAAGACGGACTTCATGCCGTCGGGGCCCGCCAGCCCGCCGCGGGAGCCGCGGGACCGCTTCACCTGCGGAAAGAGACAATGCGTCAGAGACGCCCGAGGCCAAAGGCCGACTGTCGAGGGGCAGCGCTCGGGGAGCACACGTACCTGGATCCTGTTGAGCTCGAGCACGGGGCCGTGCTGGCGGTCCCGCACCATGGTGGCCTGGATGACCTTGCGGAAGGCTGCCTCCTTGATGGAGTAAACGAGCGAGGCGCGGAGCTGCGACAGGCTGACGTCGCCCTGCAGCGCCTGCTGCACGGGGAACATGGCGACGCCGGGGCACAGCAGCTCGCTGAAGTGGTGAAGCAGCAGCAGCCGGTCACGCAGCGTGTTCATGGGCAGGTCGCGCACCAGGTCGTACTCGAGCGGCGCGCTCTGCGGCAGGCGCGGGCCCGACACGGAGGACGCCGACGTGGACATGCCGGCCGCGTCCTTGTCGTCCTTGCCGCCGGGCTGCGCCAGGCTCCAGGCCAGCGTGTGCGCCGAGCCGCACGCCACGCGCGTGATCTTCTTGCCCTGCAGCGCGACCACGGGCCGCGGCCGCTGGATGGCGTTGGTCGTGCCGTCCGCCAGCTGGCCCTCGTCGTTGTCGCCCCACGTAAACACCTCACCCTGGTCGCTGCAGGCCACGCAGTGCAGGGAGCCTGCGGGGAGTCGAGAGAAGCGGGGTCACGTTAGGATGCTCGCCCGGCCCGGCCCCTGCAGCAGGACGGGTACGCACACCCGCAGGACACGCGCGCGCCGCGGGTCTGCCTACCCGGCGCTCCGCAGGGGCTTCGCCGGGGCTCGGGCCGCGATCTGCCCCAAACTCAAACCGCTTGGCGCCACACGCCGATGGCGCACGCCCGGCCGCGCATAAACAAATACTTACCCGTGGCGATGGAGATGATCTTCTTGCCCTGGAGCGAAGATACCTTCCGCGGCCTTCGCACGTGGTCGTCAGTGCCGTGTCCAAGCCGGTGGTAATCCCCCTTGCCCCTGCGCGCACGGAATGGAAATAAGTCCCGGTTATCCACGCTTACCACTTCATGGCGCCGGCGGGGCGCTCGGCCCGGCCTCGGGCGCGGCACTCACCAGGTGTACACGCTGCCGGAGCGCGTGAGCGCCACGGAGAACTGGGAGCCGCACTCCACCTTGATGACGCCCAGCCCAGCCAGCGACTCGATCTTCATGGGCACCTTGCAGCCCTCGGAGCCGCCGCGGCCGAGCTTGCCGTAGTCGCCGTCCCCCCAGGACCACACGTTGTCGTCGTCCGTGATGCAGAGGGTCTGCGCGTCGCCGCTGCCGCAGGCGATGTCCACTACCCGGTAGCCCACCAGGGCCTCCACAAGCTTGGGCCGCAGCTGGTCCTCGCTGTCGCCGTGCCCGAGGCGGCCGTAGCGACCCTTGCCCCAAGTGTACAGCTCCCCGCCCACGCTGATGGCGGCCGAGTGCGCGCCGCCGCACGCGATGTCCACGATCTCGCAGCCCTGCAGGGCCTGGATGATCTGCGGCCGGTCCAGGGAGCTGCGGGGGGCAGTGGGGAGAAAAGGTTAGACGAGGGCCGGCGGCGGGGCCGTGGGCCCGGGCCCACGGGGGCCGGAATCACATGAATGAACAAAAACAACCATGAATGGCAATGCACCCCGCGGGGCCGTGGTCGTGCACCGCGCACCGCGCACCGCGCACCGCGCACCGCCGGGGTCGAGTCGGGTCGGGCGGCAGGAATAACTTACCAGGTGTTGCCATGTCCGAGCTTGCCGTCGTCGCCCTCGCCCCAGGAGAGCACCTCGCCCTCAGCAGACAGCGCCAGGCAGTGCTTGCCGCCCGAGTTGACGGCCACCTTTTTGATGAAGATGTGCTGGATCGACTCGAGCAGGGTGGGCGTGGTGGCTGAGTCGACGCCGCCGATGCCGAGGCGGCCGCCGGCGCCGTACCCGGTGGCGTACACCTTGCCGTCGGCCGACACCGCCAGCAGAGTCTGCTCGCCGCCGACCAGCTGCACGGGGCGCAGTGCGGACAGCGCCTCGCACGGCGTCGGCAGGCGCACCCGGGTGCCCTCCACGCCACCGAGCTGGCCGCGGTGGTTGTGTCCCCAGACGTAGATGGTGCCGCTGCCGCAGGTCAGCGTCCAGTCGTCGGGTCGCCGGTTAAGCCACATGAGCAGCTGCTCGTCGTGCTCCAGCTTGAACACGGCGTGGGTCTCGTGCTCGGTGCTCATGTCCTTGGTGCTCGTGCCCTCTTCCGACAACTCCATGATTCTCTTGCGAACCTAAGCGGAAAAAACAAAACATACATTTATTTTTTTCTATTTGTCTCGTCGTATGCCAGAACGGCGCGCGCGCGCGCGGGCGCGAGTGCGTTGCGCTAGGGGCAATGCGAGGCGGCTCGCTTTCGCAGAATAACGACTGTCGTTTTTTCCTAAATGTCGAGATAGTGCGCGTGGAGCGACTGATCTGGAGACATGCGTGCGTGTGATGCAACACGTGCCTTCTTGGTGGCGCTTAGCGGCGCTTAGCTCTAGGGGTCACAATATGGGTTAACATCCGGAGCACCCGGGTGGAGGTCCGGCCAGAAGGGCCAGAACGATGGGACTCACCTCGGTGCAGAAGGTGACGGGGAGGGTCTTCCTGTTGATGATGGCCGAGGCGACCCGCGCCGCCATGCAGTAGCGTCGGAACCAGGACCACTTGTGGTTCTCGGCGCAGCAGGGCAGCGAGTCGAGGCCCAGGTCGCAGGCGAGCGCCACCAGCTCTTGGAAGAAGGGGCTGTGCATGAGCTGCTTGCCGGAGCGCACGGCGGGGTCCTCGTACTCGTGCTGGCGGAGCAGCGCCAGCGGCAAGCCCTGCAGCAGCGCCGCCACCGGCTCGCCGCCGCCGCCGCCCCCCGCCGCGCCGCCCAGGCCCTGCTGGCCCAGTCCCTGGCCGAGCCCGTGGCCCAGCCCCGCGCGCAGCAGGCGCCTCAGGCTCTGCAGCGACCACATCCGCTCGCTCGACACTGCAAAACAAACGGCACGCTCAGCTGGGCTTCCAGGCATTCTTGCGCGCGGCTCTGCTGCATTTCGCGGCCGCCGATACCGGCAAAGTTCTACGCTAAACAGGAAATGCACAGCGGGGGGAGGGTGAGGGGAGGTTTCGTTGGACACCGGCAGCGGTTTTACAATTTGCATCAGCAGAATCATCCCGCCCACACCGACGGCATACACAGACAGATAAACAGCCCGGTCCCACAGCGGGCGAATGTTGTGGAAATGTCGGGAGGGAGGTAGGCGCCCCGGGGGGTCGGGCTGCCGCGGCGCGGCCACGGGCTGGGACCACCGGTCGGTCAATGTGCGGCTGCCGCGAGTGGGTCGCGTGTACTCACTCTCACCATCCATTCACCCCGACCTCCGCCGGGTCCGGGTCAGAGCCTCGCCGTCGGGCAGGTGAAGGGGGCGGCAGGGTGAGTTAATGGGGTGGAGTTCATTCGCTTCTTGGATCTCGGATTGAGTTCCGAACTTTCTTATGATGAGGTACTGTATCAACGCGCCAGAAAAATTTTTACCCACGCACACTAACCGGGTCTCCAAAACACGTCCGTTCACATCCTCCAGGTCAAACGAAATAGCCTACCACTTCCTGGAAATAGACGTAATTTATGAGCACGGCCCAGAGTAGTACTCACTGAGGTGGCTGAGCTGCGCGCAGGCCGCGAGCGCCGCGGCGAGCCGCGACACGACGTGCCGGTCCGCGCCGTGCAGCAGCCGCGGCTCCAGCAGGCAGATGACGAGCTCCATAGAGGGCTCGGAGAGCACCAGGCGCTCGGCCCGCACGTCCCGCGACGTGGACAGCACGACCGGGTGCACCGTCATCCTCCAGCCCCAGCCGTTCAGGGAGCCGTCGCTCGTGAACTTCCAGCGCAGCTCATCGCCTGAAATTGAAAGAAAGTCAGTCAGAATTTTGAGAATTTTTTTAGGGTGCGTTGAGCTATCTTACAGCTGTCGCGTTACGTTTTTAGTGGCAGTTTCTTTTGGAAAACTAATAATGAATAATAAGACGCAAGACGGGCGGACTCACCGGGGACGTGGAGCTCCTGGCACCAGTCGCTCCACTCGCGCCCAGAACGCACGGCCACCACGCGGCCGCCGCCGTCCGTGATGGTGAGCGGGTCGTGGCGGCGCTCCGTGGAGCACAGCCGGTCGAACTCCACGCGCAGGCTGTCCGCGCCGGGCACCTTGACGTGTCCCGTGAGCGTCACGTCGTCGATGTAGGGGTGGCTGCTCTCCTGCACCACGGGCTGCGGCACCCGCCGGCGCGCGTGCGTGTCCCGCGCCACGTCCTCCAGCTCCGTGACGCACAGCTCCACGAGGAGCGCGCGCACGCCGGGGTTGGTGGCCGCCAAGGCTGCGCCAAAGAAACGGCGTCAGTCACGTGTGAACAAGGTCGGAGCGTCCGATGGGGGAGTCCGAGGAGCAGTACTACTTACACGAGAGAATCTTGGACAGTGTCTCCTTGGACTCGCAGTTGGCGCTGAGCGCCACTTTGAGGATGTCGACGAGCATGCAGGCGTCGTCCGGGCCGAGCAGGCCGCACAGCTCGTCGGCGAGGGCGGGTGCGTCGCTTTCCAGGGCGCCCACCACCTGCGCCTTGGACGTGGCCGTCGCGGCGATCACGCTCATGGCGCTGGAGGACATCTTGGACCCCGAGGCCCTCGAGCAGAGGCTGGCCGAGGAGGACGCCGAGAATGAAGGGAAGCCCATGGGGCTGTCTTCGCTGCCCGGGGTCGTGTGGGTGCTCTATAGGGATGATACAGAGTGGAAAGTCAGGACAACGATACCGGTCAGTAAAGTAGAAGAAGGGGCGATGAGAGGTACCTACCACGACCATGAGGTCCGGCATCAGGGCCGGTGCCTCACCCCCTCCTTGCGCGATCTCTGGCTCGCTTCCTTCGGCCTCGTCTTGGACTTGGACTTCCGCCGCCTGCAAAGCCAGGGCCTCGTCGAGGGCTTCCTGGATCACCAAGCCCATGCCGACGCTATCTAACGTCTCCAATGGGCTCTCCGGAGAATCAGCAGCAACGGAGCATTCTGTAATCAAATCAAGAGCGTGATGACCGACTGCCGAGATGGGGTATTCCTAGCGCACGGCTTCGACTCAAAGACCCACCTGAAGCCGAGAGTGCGGCGTTAGCCACGCTCTCCACGGAGCAGTTGAAGGCCGAGATGAGCGCCTCCCTGGCCTGCATGATCTTGAGCGCGGCCAGGACATGGTTGAGGGCGTGCTGCCTCGCCGCGGCCGTCTCCAGGCCCAGCAGGATCTGCGAGAGCGACGGGCGGGCCGCGAGGGGTGAGGGCGGGTTGGTCGTGGCCGTGGTGGCAGCGGCTGCTGGGGCCGGCGGGCCGGTCCCGAGGGCGGCCACGGCTGCCGCGGCAGCGACTGCCGCCGGGGTGGGCGTCGAACCGAGCGGCGCGGAGTTGCCGGCATCCCCCTCGGGAAGCTCGGGCTCGATGACGCCCAGCATGGAGCTGCCGAGCGGGTCCCTCGTCGTGTCGAACAGCACCGGCTCCTGCAGTCCCACGGGCTGCGGGTCCGTCGTGGTCCAGGCGATGGAGTGCGATGAGCCGCACGCGACCCGCTTGATGCGCACGTCGCCCAGCCCTTGCACCATGGCGGGCTTGCGGTTGACGAGCGTGGAGCCGGAGGCCTGCTGCCCGTGGTCGTTGTCCCCCCAGGCGTACACGACGCCCAGGTCCGTGACGGCCAGGCAGTGCAGCGCCCCGACGGCCACCTGCACGACGCGCTCGCCGCGCAGGGCCTCGACCAGCGTGGGCCAGCGCATGTGCGCGTCCGAGTCCAGGCCCAGGCGGTAGTAGTCGCCCTTGCCCCAGGTCCACACCTGGCCGGTCTTGGTGAGCGCGAGCGAGAACTGTGCCCCGCACTCAATCTGGCACACGCCCAGCGTGTTGAGGCGCTCCACGTTCTGCGGCACGCTGCACCCCTCGGAGCCGCCGCGGCCGAGCTTGCCGAAGTCGCCGTCACCCCAGGAGAAGACCATGCCGTCGCTGGTGAGCGCGAGCGTCTGCGCGTCGCGGCTGCCGCACGCCACCTGCACCACGTGCCGGCCCAGCAGCGCCTTGACCGCGCGGGGCTTGAGCTGCGTCGCGTTGTCGCCGTGACCCAGGCGCCCGTACTGCCCCAGCCCCCAGGTGTACAGCTCGCCGCCGGACGTGATGGCCGCCGAGTGCGCCGAGCCGCACGCGATGTCCCGGATCCGCTTGGACCGGAAGGCCTCGATGAGGCGGGGCCGGTCTAGGGTCGCCCTCGTGCCGTGGCCCAGCTCGCCGTCCTCGCCCTGGCCCCAGGAGAACACCTTGCCGTCCTGGGTGAGCGCCATGGCGTGCTTGCCGCCCGAGTGCACCGCCACCTTGCGCACCACGTAGGGCGCGAGGACCGTCAGCTGGCGAGGCGATGCCACGTTGCCGCTGTGGCCCAGGCCGAGGCGGCCGTTGGAGCCCTCACCGCACGCGTACAGCTGGTGCCGAAAATAAAGCCAAGACGTCAAGCAGGTGCTTGTGCAACATAAAGGGTGGTACACAAAGTACGTAAATTGAAGTGAGTGGGGTACTATTAATTCAAAACTTACCTTGCCGTCAGAGGAAACGACGAAAAGGGTCTTGGAGCCGCCGGCGATATGGATGGGCCTGAGGGAGGACAGCGTCTCGGAGAAGACGGGCAGCTTGACCTTGGAGCCCTTGGCGCCGCCGAGCTGGTCCTTGTCGTTGAGGCCCCAGACGTACACCCGACTGGGTGCGTCGCTCGCCTCGCCCAGCGCCGCGGAGAGCGACCCCAGGGTAGACGAGCCCAGGCCCCACTCGGAGGGGGCGGGCGGCTCCTTGGACTGGTACTCGGACGCCAGGAACGAGAAGGACCTCGGCACGGGGTCCTCCACGACGCGGCGCCGCCCCACCACGTTGAGGGAGCGCACTTTGCAGTCGATGCCGCCGTTGCGGCACTGCTTGATGGCCACCTCGACGCACGGGTAGTACTGCGCAGGAAGAAGGAATAAGCACCAGGAGCGAGGACATGCAGAAAGTTGCTCCAAGAGCTGCTCCTGTGTAAAGTGTACTCACATCCTTGACATCGGTGAGCAGGGGCACAACCGTGTCCGTGTGCCTGATGCTGATGCTGGCTAGCTCCGTCATGTCTCCGGCGAAGTAGCTGTCCCCGGCGAACACGACGACCAGCGAGGGCATGTAGCTACTGTCGCTCGGGTCCACAGTCATGGTCAGCATTTGGATAGTCACGTCGGGCTGCATGTCTAGGCGGATCCAGTGCTAGAAGCAGAAGTATGTTACAGGCTTAAGCGCATATGCAAGGGAAAACATGAAATAAAAGGTTTAAACAAATTAGTAATCGAATACCAATACTAAAATTTTGGAAAAGAAATACTGTTCTTAAAAATGAAGAGAGATGACCTTTTCGGTGAAAACTTTCCATTTTTCAGGGAAACGGGTGTACAAACAGATATATTTCCATATGGTTAAATCACTGACCTTGCCCTGTGTTCCACAGCTCTGCCAGTAGCTGCAGGTGCCGTCGAAGAGCTTGGACACCGAGCCCTCCCGGGAGGAGGCGCTGACGCGCTTCACGCACTGCGTCCAGTCCTCCACCAGCGAGCTGAGCGCTGAGGTGCTGCCCTCGTGCGAGGACTGGCGCGCGCGCGCCAACGGCGTGCGCACGCCCGGGACGAAGGTGGCGTCAGCGTCGCCCTCGCTGACGCGCAGCAGCTGGTGGCGGTGAAAGCTCCGGGAGAGCACGTGGAAGCACGCCTCGCAGAGGCAGAAGTTGCGGCACTGGTGGCAGGCGTAGCGCGCGCCGCCCTGCGTGCTCCGGTGGCAGGACGCGCAGTCCGGGGTGGCCTCGGGGCTGCGGAGAGGGGGCGCGCTGGCAGCGGTCGCGGCGGCGGCCAACGCGCCCGACGGGGACGTGAGGGACGACGCCAACGCCGCGCCGGTCGCGCCGGCCACGGCCGTAGTGGCCGCTGTGGTCGTAGTGCCAGTGTTGGTGGCCGTGGCCGCGGTGGTGGGCTTGGACGAGCCCCTGGGGGAGCGGCGCGCGCCCGGCGGGAAGCCCAGCAGCTCCACGTGGATGAAACGCACCCAGTAGGTGTCGTTGTGGTGCTGCCACGCCACCAGCACGTTGAGGTCGTGCAGGCCCTCCGTGTCGATGATGATGACGCGGCCCACGTCGCCCTCGTACACCACCTCGTACGTCTTGCAGCAGCGCACCAGCATGCCGGGCGCGATATTGTCGCGCACGTACATGGCGTACTCGTCCTTGTTGAGGAAGTCCGCCCGGCTGTGGTAGACCACGCCCGGCTGCTGGGCCGGCACCTACAACAGAGACGGAGTTAAGACTCTGCTCACCAGCGAAACCCCTTTCGCCAATGACCCCAAGTGATACGCACCACGTGAGTGAAGGAGCTGGACACGTCCTCTACCTCCTCTGACGTCGAGTCGGAATCGGACAAGGCGTCGAACGACGAGATGGTATCCGAGTCGGACATGCCGGCGTCTGGATGCTCTAGTAACCAGGCCACCAGGCGCTCGATGGTGATTGGAGGCCCGTCCGACGGCGCTGTTTCTCCTATTGGAAACATGCAAGTTTGAATAACACTATTGCGAACTACGAACCCAGCATGTGTCCATCTCCATGTGAACTCACCCATCATCTTGATGGTGTACTCGACGCTCTTCCGGCTGAAGCCCATCTCGGTGACTTGGGTGATGAGCGCCGCAGTGGGCGACGCCTTGAACGACCTGGCGGGGACAGACTCGCTGGCAGGGGTTGACGCCTCGCTGCCTCCGCCTCCCGCGGCGCCGCCCGCCGGGGCAGCCGTCGGCACGCTTTTGGCGCCGTCGCCGCGCCACAGCTCGGCGGCCAGCGACTGGACGAGGGCGAGAGCAGCAGCCTGCGGGGGAAGCATGACGTCATTGACACAATCTGGACACAGGAACGCCACTGTTTGTTGGTGCGTTTCAATGCCACCACCGTACCTCTATCTCCTGCCTGGTGAAGTGCGGCTTGAGCGGCGAGGCCTGCGCGGCCTTGTAGAGCAGGGCGTGAAGCAGCAGCGTGCCGTTGGGGCAGCAGGCCGCGCACCGACCGCCATCGTCGGCGCCGGACACGTCCAGGCCGGGGGCGTCGCAGCAGTCGGCGCCCATGGCGTCCATGCCGGCCGCCATGCCGTCGCCGTGCGAGCAGAAGGACGGCGTGAGCGGCGCGCGCAGCACGCGGCGCAGGCGAGTCTGGTGGCGGTAGAGCACGCGGCACGCGCGCACCGCGGCCAGCTGCAGCTGCTGCGTGCGCAGCAGCCCCGCGTCCAGGACGGCGCCCGCCCGCGGCTGCGGCTGCAGCGGCGACGACTGCGTGCACACGGCGAGCAGCTGCGCCCACGCGCCCAGCAGCGGCTCGCTCAGGGGCAGGCGCTCCAGGGCCATCGCGGGGCCCGGCACGGCGCGCACGGCGGGCAGGCGGTGGCGCGAGGCCTCGCCCTGCGCGGGCTGCACCACGAGCCGGCAGCAGCCCGAGATGCGCACCACCGTGCCCAGGGTGCCGTCGGGCAGCGCCACCTGGCCGCCGAGGCGGGGGCGGTCGTCGACGCCTCCCAGCATGCACAGCGCCGCCATCATGCCCGCCTGCATGGTGCCCACGGCCGAGTCCGCCTCGCCCACCGGCACCATCTGCACCTGCATGTGCAGCATGTCGCCGGCCAGCGCCAGCTTGGAGGCCAGCAGGCGGTTCATGACGCCGGTCCAGGAGGGGACGGCGTGCAGCGATCGCAGCAGCGCGATGGCCTGCTCCGCCACCGAGCTGGTGTGGGAGGCCGTCAAGCTGGGCAGGTTGTCTGCGGCGACAGAAACAAAAGACACGATAAGGTTGGGCTCCATAAAGCATTCCGGTAAAGCTGAAAAGAAGAAGAATGAGGGGGACAACAAAACGGAAATCACTAGGGGAGGGTGGGGCACCTGGAGACTGGGGCACCTGGAGACAACGCCTATTTCTCGCGAAAGTCAAATTTCCGCGCGGTTCCGTTGGTACCTACTGGTAGTGCTCAACTAACAGATCATCTTTTGAGAAGGTGGTGACTGTGGCGCAACATCCCGAGTTTTAAGACCCGATGAAAGTTGAGCAGTCCGAAAAACAGTGAAAAGTAAATTCTATCGTTCGTCTGCCTTATCGCTTATTGTACCTTTAAATACATTATAGCCTTGAATTTCGCTTTGCTTCATGTTCTCTGACCCTTTGGGCTTGGTCAAGGACAGTCGGCGAAGATCTCTCACC